GGTTCTCTGCCCTAATGATTTCTTCCAACAACCAGTTCACCAAACTGCTCAGAAAGTTAACAACCAGTTCTCCCAAAGGGGTGCAAACTGGCTGAATCCCACCACTGGATGCAATCATCTTTCGCCCCTCTTTTAACATCTATATGAAATTATTGGGGCCAGTCAACTGATTGGAGTGCTATCTTGAGTATACTGTTGGTATACATCGCCCCCTTCAGGCTAGAGGGGAGATGCTATTGATGTTGTTCTTCAGGGGTTGGAGGCTGTAAAGATCTGGAGAGAACAAGCCAAAGCTAGGTAAAGTTGCTATTTGTGAAAAAGTTTTCTCTGGACAAGCAGGCACTACCTTTGAAGGAGCAGATTAGCAATTTAAGATCTTCCTGGATTCACAGTTCCTATTAAAACAACAATTAGAGGCCATGGCGAGAAGGGCTGTTGCCCAGCTTCAGCTGATGTGCCCTTTGGGATCTTATATGGTGTAGGAGAACCAGTAATACCCTCGCTACTAATCAGATAAAATATTGCAGTGTTGACAATACATGGGGCTTCCTTCAAAAGTCACTCAGAAATTACAATTGGTCCACAGTGCATCAACAGGTTCCTGATGCTGGGAACATATAACAGCAATACTAATGTCCCGCAAGGAACCAAGAATGATAGGATGAGTTGCACAGAATAGTTTCTTTGTTGCTGCTTGCCTATAGATGGGAATCTTGCCTGACTAAAGCACACTGTTCATAACAATCAGCTAAATCCTATGAAGGTTTTGGGGAGAATCCCTTCTGAGCCTGTTTCTGCATACCAGTGACTCAAGGCTGATTTATCTTTTAGTTCTTTGAGAAAGAGCCCCATTCTTCTTGCAAGCCAGCTCCAGATTCTCTCATACCTGCAAAGCAATCGCCTCTGACTTGGATTGACCCAATTTAAAAGAGCATTAACGGAGAAACTGTTTGTGATTTCAGTGCTATATAAATTCAGCAAATGACTATATGTATGTATCAGTGGTGGGATTCAGCCAGTTCGCACCTATTCGGGAGAACCGGTTGGTAACTTTCTAAGTAGTTCAGAGAACAGATTGTTGGAAGAAATCTCCTTTTGTTTTTTCCCACTTTAAGGAAGGCAGNTAAGGCTTGGAGATGATTGGCCCCTCCCATAAGACATAAAAGAAGAGCGAACAGGACGTGAGCCTTTGAAGGAAGCAATAAGTTCATTTAGTCAGTCCAAGCTCTGAGAAGTCCTGTTTGATTCTGTGCTCCATTTCTCTGCAATGAAAGGGTAGATCTTTGGGCTGGTGGTAGATGTGTGGAGAGATGCATGGAGGAAAATCTTAATATGTTGCCCCTACTTCCCTCCCACTATGTGATTGTAGTCTGTACAATTAATGTTATCTTTTAATTTAAAAGTCAATAAAGACTCTATGCCAAGCTCATAGTCTGAGTTTAAAAAGATACTGTGTAAGGTCTATATGTGAATGGTGCATTATGTCCAAATATATATTAGAATCTCTGTTTCCCACATCTCTTCTCTTTCTAGTGACTGTTTTAGAATCTGTTATTTCTCCTGAGGCCATGAAGAACGGAATGCCAACTGTCTCCAGGCTGCTACAAATGCCGTACGTCTGTAGCAATGAAATAGAGTACAGAGATATTGAGAAACGTTTTGAAGAAAAATGAACTAGAAACCTACCATACTTTTCAGAGTATAAGACGCACTGGAATATAAGATGCACCAAGGTTTTGAAGAGGCAAATTAAAAAAAAAGTTTTTGGATTCTGCAAACCTCCCCAAAACATTTGTAAAAAATGGGCCTGGTTCCCCCCCCCCCAAAAGGCATGAATAACCTTTAAGGGGCTTGCTGAGTGCTCCTGAGGGTGCCCCCCCAAAAAACAAGCAAAAACCAGCACGTTTTTTGTCAAAAAAATTGCATGGATAGCCTTTAGGAGGCATATAGATTACTCCTGGGGGCTGGAGGGAGGGCAAAATTGAGCAAAAAAGGCCCATTTTTCACTAATTTCTGCCCTCCCCAGCCCCCAGGAGCTCCCTGAAAGCCTTTTACAGCCCCTGCACGGCCATTTTAGTGAAGGGGTGTGGTTTCGGGAGGCCAAAAATGCTGTATTCAGTGTATAAGACACACCCAGATTTTCAGCCTCTTTTTTGAGGGAAAAAGGTCCATCTTATACTCTGAAAAATACAGTGAGCAGAATAGAAGAAGTCTTCAACTTACGACCACAATTGGGCCCAAAATTTCTGTTGCTAAATCAAGCCAGTTATTAGGTGAATTTTGCCCCATTTTACCACTATTTTTGCCACAGTTGTTAAGCTAATCATTACAGTTGTGGATCATGTGGTACTTAAGTGAATCTTGCTTTCCCCATTGACTTTGCTTGCCAGAAGCTGGTTGGGAAGGTTACAAATGGTGATTATATGATGCCAGGATGGTGCAACTGGCATAAACACTTGCCAGTGCCAAGTCCTCAAATTTTGATCACGTAACCCTGATGAGGCTGCAACAGTTGTAAATGTGAAAATCAGTCATAAATCACTTTTTTCAGTGCTGTGATGACTTCAAACAGTGATGGTTATAAGTTGAGGACTACCTGTATAGACTTTGATTGAAGCTGCTGTGCCCAACTGGTTTAACAAAATCATTTACCTACATTTCCTGTACATTTGTGCAAAAGGAACAAATTAAGTCTAAGTGCAAATTGTAGGATGGCTATGATTTCTTCCAGGTGACTGTTGTTTTTTTAAATTTCCATTAGGTTATTCAGTGATGTTCTTCTAACAAATTCAGAAAAAACACAATTTAAGGTACAGTTGAATGATATTATTTGGTTTGGGAGTATATGTCAGTGTTCTAAATAGCATGCTGAATTAAATCAGAGTCCAAGGCAGAGCTATCCTTAAAGTTCCAATTTAATAAGACAGACATGTTGGCACATCTGTGGAAAACCCAAATCTGAAAACTTCCTGGGATTCCACCCAGTTGAAAGTTCATGATCTTATCCCCACATGGTCCAATCTTCTTCTGCC